GGTACACTTTTTGGCCCAACTTTCTGCGAATTGAATTCCGTTTGTACCATTGCGATCAGACAGTTAAACGCTATCCAACTATATACTTTTCATAATTATTTGTGATACTTTTTCCGACATCATAGTTTTGGGTGTTTGACTTTGACATTATTTGACCTTTATTCAAAAAGGTTCTCACATTTAATTCGTATCATTTGTTCTCATGATTTATTTCAATAAATCATTTCAAAGTTCACATTATAAACAATTTTTTTTCATTTATCCTTGATTTGGGTCTGTACTCAGGTTCCCAAGTAAGGTCACACAATAAGTCAACATATTGGATTTATCTCTATGAGACTTATCCAGATTTTGATATTGAATATTAAAACATATTTCATTTCGGCCCAAAGCCCAATAACAATTATTATTATTATTATTAATCAAAATAATTTGATTACTTGAATAATTATTCATTAATAATTCTAGGGTATATTTTGGGGCATTACACAAACAACTTGAGATCTTGCCCGAAAACGTAATAAGTATTAAAGTTAATTAAATAAAGCATAACTAAAGATTAAAGAGACAGCCACGCCATCGTACATCTCCTCCTCAATGCCCTCCGGGATCGGCTCTAGGTTCATCTGTCTGATCACCTACGGACAACAAAAGGAAAACAACGCTATCCGCTCAGCATTGACGCTGAGTGGTACTCCATTGTAGCACAAGAATAAACATAATAATTCAATAATTAAGATCGCGCATATGTTTATCCTTTTAATAAAAATCAATTCAACTTTAAGTTCGGTTCTTTAGACGGTTGACCAATGGTCAACTTATTTTCTTTCTTTTCAAAACGATTTAGATGTTATGGATTCCTCTTTAACTCTTTGACCACCGGTCAAACCAATTTAGACTTTCACGAAAGTCAAACCACTTAACATTTATTTCCTATGACGGAGATAGCCTCAATCCGTAATACCGAAGATAGCCTCAATTCGGTGGAGGTAGGATCCCTCGTGCGATAGCCTCAAACCCAAGAACGCAGACCCTCGTGCACACGTCTTAACCTCACTGACCACGCCCTGCAGCCGCCCGAGCAATGGCCAGTTTCTATGTTCGACATATCAAAACCAATTGATCCTAATTACTGTTTAGAATTAAATAATTAACTTAATTAATTCATTAAAGTCCCTTAATTTAACCATTAGGTCAAACCTACGTCAACAGAATATCCAGTCAAAGCCTAAGTCAAACAGGACCTAACCCAAGTTAAAGTCAAACCTGTTCAGTCAATTCATAATCCTCAACAATTCAATTCGAATAATCAATTTAATTCAATTAACCAATTTAGCCAAATTATAGCATAAACATATATAACGATCCGAACCATTAGATCTCTTCTAACGCTATTAACTTCATAGTACGGACCTGGATTACGTAGAAATCGAATCGATAGCTCGAACGGAAGACAAATCAACGAAATCGAATGAACAACGGGTCGAATTGAGTCAAAACACGTAATCGAACAATGAATCTGGCGTGGAGATTAATCTGCCGGCGGTATCAACCCGGGGCAGCAGCTCGATGTGGCGACGGTGGCGGGCGCCGGCGTACAGTGGCGGGGCGGTGGTAGCTCGCAGAAATCACGAACAGAGGAGCAGATCCGGTGATAGCCTCTGCCTGGAGGAGTCCCTAGCAACAACAGCGGCGAACCGGCGATGTATTAGTCCAGTGAGTCGCAGCGACCGCCGGCGAAGGTGGCGACCCGGCGTGGCGCTGCTCCAGAGATTTAATTGCAGAGGAAATTGCGAGGAAGATGGAGATGGGACGAGGGCTAACCTGGAGTGGCGACGTGGCGTTGGGCTGCGCAGCGATTGAGCGGGGGCTGGTGCGGCGAGGAGGCGAAGGTCTGGCTTGCGCAACGCCGTCTTGGTCGAACGACAGGGATGAATGAGACGCGTAAGGTCTCCGTATCGTATATGCGTATTTATGAAATTAGGGTTTTAAGTTTATTTAATAATCCTATTCCTAGAAGGATTGGGCTCCGGACCCAAAATATCTGATTAAATGGCCATAACTTGAGCTCTGGTACTCTGATTCGCGAACCGTTTGAACCGACGCGATCACAAAAATATTTCCTATGATATGGTATAAAAATTGGGCTTAGAATCCAAATTAATTCTTTTGGGCCAGATTTCGGGGTGCTACAGTTCAGGCTCATCTCCTCTTGGACGTGGAAGTCGGCATCGAGCTTCTCGAACGGTGGGACGGCTTGTACCTTCACTGGCATGACTCGACATGTTTGATGTTTGGTATTAGCTTTCTTTCATGCTCTCATCTTGTTTTACCTCGATCGCACGCGGTCGCGGCACTTCACCTACGGCCCGGAAAACAAAGCGGGTGAACTTTGTTTTTTTGATGAAACACATCTTCTTCACCGGAACCCGGATGTCCCGAGAGATGTCTACTTCACAACGGAGAAGAATAAGCATGATCTGGATAGCAAAACGAAGATGATGGACTTGAGAGCCATCACGAAGAGCAATGAGAAAGTAGTGAACCCAATCAATTTTAAAGTTGTTCAAAAGGGCATGAAACAAACAAATATCATCCTTGTTCACAACGACATGGTTCGAGTCACGAGGCAACAAGACATAACAAAAGATCTATTGTTGCACCCGTTGAGTCAAAGTGAGATTGGTCACACTCAGGCTATGATAAGTGGCATAAGTGAACTGATTAAAGGGCACCCCGAGTGTTCAAAATTTGTGTAACATTTGGGGTTCCCTTGTGGAACCGATTAAAGTTTCTCCCAAATGTCTTGGTCTTGGAACTTTAAGTTTGTGGAACATTCGGGGTGCCCTTGTGGAACCGATTAAAGTTGCTCCCAAATGGCTTGGTCTTGGAACTGATTAAAGTTGCTCCCAAGTGACATAAGTGAAACGATTAAGTTGGGGGAACATTAGGGGTGCCCTTGCTCTTGTGGAACCGATTATAGTTGCTCCCAAATGGCATTAGTGAACCGATTAAGTTTGTGGAACATTCAGGGTGCCCATGTGGAACCATTTAAAGTTGCTCCCAAATGGCTTGGTCTTGGAAAGACTCATCAAAATTTCTACAAACATGACCTCGACGAAGACTAAGAATGTTCGTCAAGGCCGCGACATCAACCCAAATGGTTTTGCCGTCAACATGGGAAATCAAAACATGATTGTCTCCAAGAATAATTGATAAGTCTGTTATTTGTATATATTTTATTACCTTTTGATAGAATTATTAACTTAGAGTTTAATACTATTTGAAGCTTAATTGTGTATTATTTATATAATAGATAAGTTTGGACTGATTTGTGGTTATGGATTGATTTTAGGGTCCAATTACAAAGAAAAGGATTGAATTGCAAGCAAGGATTACATTGTGGGGCCAATTAAGAAATTCTAGAAGTTTTATTTCCCCAAATCAAGTTACGCTAATTAGACGGAGAAATCAACAAACAACGCCCTGGGCCAGGCCTTGTTGAGGAAGCAGCATCGTCGACCTTAGGCGATATCCGGCAGCTCCGTACCCAGCATAGGCAAGCAGCGGCCACGCCGGCGACCACCTAACGACGAGCAGCCCAGACCCGACCCGACTTCCAAGCACAGCAGCGAAGAAGACAAACCCGACCCGGCTCTAGAACCAAGACGGTGGCGTCCTTCTAGCGACGAGCTCCAGCAGTGACGAGCTCCTAATTCCAGCGACGGACGAAGCTCTAGGGCTGACCCGACCCGATGAAGACCAGCGAGGAATGGAAGCTGCAGGTCTAATTTTGGACATGAGATTACCAATTTACCCCTGGTTTCTACTATATTTTAATTCATAATTTCAGCACTTACTGGTCCTTTTCTTTCTAATTTCTCCTACTCTATATATACTCCCCTAGCTCTAATTTGTTAAGGGAGCTCCCCCATATATTTTTTCCATGTTCTTAGATTAGGTTTCATCTTCATGTTTTATCTTGCATTTTATTTTGGGGAGTTCCAACATTAGATTTAATATTTGAATGCTACTTGTTTCTTAATATTAGTCTTTATTTCTTACATCTCTTCCTTGTATTTTCCTTCTTTATCACTTTCTTATCTTTATGTATTTCTTTAGATTTAGCATGCTAGGCTAGATTTTCTAGCCTAGGTTAGAGATGAATTGTTGATTTGTGCTTGTTGTTGATGGATTAGTGTGAAATATGAGATTTTGCTCTAGGTTGTTTGTAGAGATTATGCTATATTTATGCTTGGATGTTATTGTTGGCCACGATGGCATTCTTGTATTCCGGAGTGAGTTCTAAATCATCGAAGAATCGGGATTTAGAACCCTAGCCGTGTGTCTCTACTCTCAAGTCCTACCATGGAAGTGGAGGATACTTGAGGAGCTTGTTTGATGCGTTTGTAGTTCTCTTGAGACGAGTGCCACGGAAGTGGGTTCTTCTCTAGGGGATTCTATCCCGATTCTCACGATAGTGAGAATCAAGGTGATTTGCTCGCATTTTAGTTGATTTCCCATTTTCCTCTATTCCTTTGACAATAGCATTGTTCGCATGAAATTCCTAATCTAGGCTTGCTTTTCATCACTTCTTGCATTTCATTGCATTAGTTTAGTTCCATTCACTTGCATCATTCATCTTCTCTCTGCTTTTAGGCCTTGATTCACATTATACGATTCAATATTGGTGTTTAGTTACACTTTGCACTTGATTCCTAACCAATCACGCTATCCCCGTGGACTCGACATCCCTTACTTCCACCACAATACTCATTCCATTTACTTTTCCACATTTCATTCTACACTCCATTTCATTCACACTTTCACATCTTTTTGAGCGAGGGTTTTTGGTGCAAATGACACACCAAAAATTGTTGTATCAAAACTGGCGTCGTTGCTGGGGATAGCAACGGTTTTGAGTGCTTTGTGTTAGATAACATTAATTGAAAGTTGTTAGTGGGGACTAGGTCATTCTTTTTTTATTTGTTTGCACTTGTTTTCTTGTTTGTTCTTCTCTTTGTAGGTGTGCAATCATGGAGGATAGTGACATTGATTCTATCATTGAAGAGCTTCGTTTGGAGAATGAACTCTACGTTCAAAGTCTTGCTCTTGATTCCACTATTCCCAAATTTAAGTGGTCACTTAGTGACCAAAAACTACCAAGCTTGAAAATTGGCTATCGATATGTGATTATCAACTATTAGCTAGTCAAAACCCAACTAAGGAAAATCATGCTAAGAACCAAGGTCCAAAACTCAAAGTGTTTCCAAGGTAAAAACCAATAATTGAAATATGAATTAGAAACCGAGACTTAGTTTTCAAAATAAGTCTTCGAGATCATAAGTCACGCATGTTGTAGACGCATGATATATGAATCATTCACATCATGGCGTATCCGCTTAAGAGGTCAGGCATAGTGTGCCTCTTATAGCGGCCCCGTCCAGGAGCCTTCAGGTCCAACAGGTTTCATTCGGAGGGCTTGTTTACATACATGGTGACTAAGTTTCGGTTACCAGCCATTATTTCTAGTCTCGTATGAGACTAAGGTTTGACCGAATTAGACCTGAAAAAAAATGACCCGACTTGTTTTTGACCCAAAACCCAACCCAAAAATACTGGGTTTTGAACAAAAGTTTTGCTGACCAAACCCAAAGTTGTCCGAACCCAAAATTTCCCGTTAAAAATGGGTCAAACCCAACCGAACCCGAACCCGACCTGAACGACCCGCTAATGTGAGAATTTTTCGAAATCATATGCTTTAATATGTAATTTAATGTTATAAAAATAAGATTTTAATTTTATTTCTTTGCTTTCTACTCATTTTTAATGTATAAATTTATATTTTCATACAAAATTTTAATGATATTGCATAATTATCTATCTTTTTTTCAAAATTTTCTATATTTAGATTTTTTATTCGTAATATTGATAATCGGTCATAAAAATTACTTAAAATTTCAAAAAATAAATGAAAGTCATAACACGTAGGGTCGACCCTAACTTGATGACATTGGGTCATGAACATGTAGCTCTCAACCCAAACCCGAAGTTACCCGAACCCGAAGCAACTTGAACCCAAGGTGATCGAACCCGAACCTGACCTCACCGACCATTTTGCCAGCTCTAGCCCGAATCATTTCCCTGGTGGAATGATGTCGGAGCGCAGGGGGTCCCTGCATAGTCTAACTCATGCATCATATTTCATGTTAGTCATTATGAGGTTCCTGTACTCTAAGTACACGCATGAACATTTGGTATATATGTGAACCATTTTGTCGTTATGAGATTCATGTCATTCATATTGTTCCATCATCATGAATAAACATCTTGATTATATCTATGAATATGGGCGACTCGGATTTTTGCAAAATATATTGCACTTCATATCCAACATCGTTGACGACAAGGCCAAGGTATTTATATTCGGATAACTTTCTAAAATGAATCTCCTTGATATGTATATGTGTATCTTACATCTTGTTCTATCTATTAAGCAACCATGAAAATTATGTGGCCAATGTGATGCATGGTATTTAAGTATAAATATATTATCAATCTCTCGCATTATCGTACCACTCAGCTTTATGCTGAGCGTGTAGTCTTTTTGTCTACACGTAGGTTGAAGCACAAATTATGTGAACCACCCGGAGGACGAAGAGACGATAGGATCGATGACACGTTGACATGCATGATTTTCACAACTATTGCATTTAAAGTTTTGGGCTTGACCCACATCATTGTATTTATATTATTTATGTAACGCCCCAAAACATACCCTAGAATTATTAATGAATAAATAATAATTTAATCAAAATGTTTGTTGGGCTTTGGCCCGATATGAAATGTGTTTTATCCAATATCAAAATCGGGATAAGTCTCATAGAGATAAATCCAATATGTTGACTATTTGTGTGGTCTTGATTGGGAACCTGAGTACAGACCCAAATCAAGAATAAATGAAGAAATTATTTATAATATGAACTTTAAAATGATTTATTGAAATAAATCATGAGAACAAATGATATGAATTAAATGTGAGAACCTTTTTGAATAAAGGTCAAATAAACCAATTTTGACTCTGTCAAAGTCAAACACTCAAAAATATGATGTTAGAAAAAGTATTTCAAATAAACATAAAAATTATGCAGTTGAGTAGAATTCTACTGTCTGATCGCAACAGTGCAAACGGAATTCAATTCGGAGAAAGTTGGACCAAAAAGTGTACCCCGACTGGGACCAAAATTAGTCCCAATCAAGGAACGGTGTGTATAATCGAATCAAATCGCAGCCTAGAGCACTCATCCGTCCGCGAACGTGAATGATGTTCCTCTTCCTTGGCAGCTTTTTCTCCTTCCTACTATATAAGAAGGATCTCATATACCATTTTTACACCAAATTCTTCCTTTCTTCTTCCATTTTGATCATGAGAGTGTGGAGAGTAGAGTGGTGCTGTCCAGAGAGCGGGAGGTCGCCGGAGGAAGTCGTGGTGTTTGCCAGAAATTTCGCTAGAAAATTTCCAAAACCTTCGTTAAGCTTCGAGGTAAGCACGTAGATATATCTAGTGACTAGAATGTTCGTATAGATTGTTTTTTATGTTCATAAACAGTCGTTTAGTTGAGTTTTGTGTTTGACATGCTTGAAAAACTAAGAATCATAAACCTTGAATTTGATGTTGAAACTACGAATTAATGACTCTAAAATGATTTGTAAACATTGGAGAACATTTTTATATAATTTAATTGAAGTTTGGTGATTAAAAATGATAATTTTAAAATTGACCAGAGGAAGAAGATGATGAATAGTGGCCAAAATCGATTATTTCCTTACTAAGAATCGATTAGAACTTTATTCAGATCAGCGGTTCGAAGTCAGTACCAGTTAATCAATTTTTCCGTTCCAATAATATATATATATATATGTGTGTGTGTGTGTGTGTATGTATGTGTGTGTGTGTGTGTGTGTGTGTGTGTGTGTATATATATATATATAAGGAGTCAACCAAAATGACTCATAACAAGGACAATATGAAAAAAATCAAAAAGACTCCGGTTAAGGTTTTCTGGTACCTTCCAATAATACCAAGGTTCAAGCGTTTGTTTGCTTTGATAAAGGATGCTAAGCATCTAGTGTGGCACACAGAGCAGCGAAAAGATAATGGCACCCTGCGTCATCCTGCCGATGCCCCACAGTGGAAGATGATTGACTACACATTTCCAGATCCAGATAGGGACTCCGGAAGCTAAGGTAAACCATAATTACCTTCATTGAATGAAATTATTAACTGACATATTAATTTATTTTAAACAATTGTTTTAGGATTTGAGCGAGAAGAATAGGGATATATAGAAGAAGAATTCCTATCCACACTATATGGGCCGAGGTGGATATGCCATGCTTCAGCGTGAGTTTTCCGCTGCTTCTCAGGCCACCACTTCTGCTGATATCGCTGGTTCGTCTATCGAGACGAGTTCTCAGCTCGGACGGAAGAACTCTTGGTTGCGAGGTCACACCCCGGGGAGGCAGGCAGAAGTTACGGACCCTGCACTGATGGAGATTCGTGATAGGATAGTAAGCATATAATCTACAATTACGTCAATATATTTGTTTATTACTTGTTTATTATTTGCTTACAATTTCTTTACTTCTTTTATTTCTTAACTGTAGGTCCAGCTGAAGAAGGAGGTCGCAGTCGGTACCTTTGTGCCAGATGGGCACAATGATGTACTGACTAGAGCTTTAGGGACTGCCGAGAACCCAGGATAGACGAGGGGTGTTGGGTCATATTCGGGCTTACGTAAAGTTTTCAAAGGCAACATGAAGCCTCGTAAGCCCGAAGATAACTATATGACTGAGGAGGATCTTTTGCAGCGTCTTCCTTCCCTTCTTTAGCAGTATGGACTATCTGTGTCCGGGAGTGCTCTCGAAGGGGCATCCATGTCGCAACACACACTGTCTCTAGCACCTCATTATGGGCAGCGTAGTAGCAAGGCGTCTACAGATTTTGTTGACGTCGCCGGTGTCACTGAGGTACATATATTTTGTAATTAAGGTTTCAAGTTTAGTTTACGTTTACTTGTTTCCGACATTAGTTTACTAATTGTGTTTTGTAGGTTGCTGCTTGTTACTTGAGGATCTCTGATCCAGCGAATTACATAGTGGCACATGGATCGGTTTTCCCACGTGCACCAGGAGATATGGTGCACGGTGTTCCCCTCCTTCCCCACCAGGTTAAGGTCTCTGTGACCCTTGTGCTTCCTGGAATGGGTGAATATACCATTCCTTGTCCGACTGAGCATATGGAGACCGTGGCCGATTTCGAGGGGAGCTTCGTTGCATGGCCAAAGTCGTTGGTGGGCGTTGGAGATGTAAGAAGTAAATAAATTTAGTTCTTTTTTATTCAACATCATTTGGGTTGTGTTTCATATATCATTTTTTTTGAAAATATTCGTAGCCCCCGGTGCAGACGGCTCGACATGGCGACTTCTCATCAAGCAAATCTTGTCCCATTCTCGACGTACGTCCCACTGCTCCTAGCTCTCCCGTACAGGATGTTGTTGACCGGAGCTCATACGTTGCATTCGGGCCGAGGTGCAGAGAGTTGTGTCAGTGGCTGACACGCACATCTGCTTTGTCTACCATTAGCGTTATTCTCAATCCCGACTCCATGCTCTATCCGGAGGAGACAGAGCTGAGGATGCGTCCGGAGAATATACGTGAATATACGTGTTTGCATCGATTATTTGGTAATAACCGATTTAAAAAGCTTCTTCCCAGAATTGGCGCCATTTCTTGGGGGGGCTTTTGCATCGGTTTTAACAACCGATGCAAAAAGTAACCTGAGTATTTGCATTGCTGGCTTTTGCATCGGTTCAAAACCGATTTAAAAGAGTCAAAATAACTGATTTAAAAGGTCTTTTTTATAGTAGTGAATACCATTGAGTATTTAGTGAATACCATTAAACCTATATAGTCAGGCAGAGAGTATTCAAATTCAAGGAATGCATGTAAGATACTTTGCCCAGTTTATTAAGATTAAAAGTGGCTTCACTCTTAAACACATATCTATTGTGTTTTTTTGTGTGTTACGGAATCACAGAACACACAAAGAGAAAGAGAAATGTGCAAAGCAAGTGAGTTTAATTGCGGAGGAAATTCATTTTCAAATAGTAAAAGAGGAATCGCTTGATTTTCTTTTTCAACATTTACTTCATTTCAAAGATGAAAATTTCATCAAGCATGGAACATCGGTAATCAGATATATTAAAAGAAAATAAAATGTTTTGCGGAAACAAAAAATGGTGGCAAATTTAATGATAGGTAGAATTAAATAGATGGGAAAAAATAATGAAACAAACGGAATTGGGTACAACCTGAGCAATGTCTAGGAAAGGTTGATGCCATCAATACGTTGCAGATATCGAAACAATTTCCACACAAACAGTCCAACATCAATGCAAATTTTTTTTTACCTCAATTATAGGAGAAAAATCTGACAAAAAAAGTAGATTCACAATGTAATACTCTTAGAGAACATTAAAAACTAAAATGTTGAAACTATAAAGTAATTGATAATTCTAATCATTTGGTTATAAACAATATTATCTTAATAGGAAAATGAATAAATATATGTATAGACTTAACTAAAGCGTGAAAATAAACTCTAAAGAATGATGATTAACATACAAATCTTCAAACATATTTAACAAATGAAAGAAATCTGGAATGGTTTTTCTGATTAGGAATGTCAATGACATGTGTTTATAATTCTATTCACTAAAGATCAAAGTATATTAAAAATTGTTTCATAACTGGATTGTTGAGGCATCAAATATGGAGATTAGAAAAAAATACCTAAGGATGCTCGATGTAATGAACTCTGCGATGCTTGGCTCTCGCACTCTATTTCTGATCTGGCGACAACCAACTGGTTGAGAATCCTTGTTCGAAGCTTAAATTGGGACCATTTGGATGACTAGAGATGAGAAGTTCAGCGAATTTCAATTTGATAAAACAACTTTGGCATATATCATGCGTTGGCATCGAAGAAAGAAACAAAATGGTGACAAAATTAATGATAGGCAGAATTAAATAGATGAGATAATATAATGAAACAAACGGAAACGGTGACCAATTGTGCAATGTTTACGAAAGGTGCATGCCATCAATACGTTGTAGAAACAGGAACAATTTCATCGCAAATAATCCAACATCTATGCATAAAATTTCTTTTACCTCAATTATAGCCGAAGGGTCCGACAAAAAAGTAGATTCACAATATAATACTCATAGAGAACATTAGAAATTAAAATGCTGAATACCTTTAATCATTCAGTTATGTACAATATTAAACTAAAGGCTAAAGCATGAAAATAAACTATAAAGAATGATGGTTAACATACACATCTTTGAACATATGTAACAAATGATAAAAATTTGGAATGGTGTTTTCGATCTGGAATGTGAACGACATATGTTAATAAATCTATTCAATAATGATCAAGATATATTAAAAAATTGTTTCATAACTGGATTGCTGAAGCATAAAAAATGGAGATTAAAAAAAGAAATAGCTGAGGATGCCTGATGTAATGAACTCCACGATGCTTGGCTCTGGCACCCCATCTCCGATCTGATGGCCACCAATTGGTCAAGGTTCAAAGCTTTAATTGGGACCATTTCGATGGTTCGAAATGAAAATTTCAGTAAATTTACTCAATTTAGGAAGGAAACAAATCTGATTGAACAATTCTTGTCTGAATCACGCACTGCCATTGAAGAAGGAAACAAATCTGGGAACGAAGAAGGAAACGACTCTGCGAAAGAAGAAGCAAATTTCGGGAATTTGAGGGTGAGGATTGGAAATCTTACAAACGAAGAAGGAAGCTCATTGGACATCATCGAAGAAAAAGAAGAAGAAGAAGAAGGAAATTCGCTGAATTGTCGGGAACGAAGAAGGAAATTTTCTGTCAAAATTGCTAGACATCGCGTTAATAGAGAAATCCATTAAAGCTCCGTTCAAACCAAATTAAAAACTTGTGGATGGTACCACATGGCACCACATGGCATGCTGAGTTGGTTAAAAGTGCCTTGTAGACGTGCCAAATGTCAGAATTATGTAAGTCCAACTCTCAAATTTTATATATAAAGATATATTTTATATATATATATATGTATGTATGTATGTATGTATGTATGTATGTATGTATGTTAGTCGGTTTAGACGTTGTGCCCAAACCTTAGAGGGGGTGAACAAGGCGTTTAAAAACTTTTCGGAGTTTGATAAAAACGGTGTTGGCAAATGCGGAAGCAATAAGTAAAACTTAGAAATAAAAGCGTTAAGTAAAAGACACACCGATTTTATACTGGTTCGGGAACTCCCTACTCTAGTACCTTAAGGCTCCTCTTTAAGGATTTCCGAATGTCTCTTGAACTCCGTCAAAGCACCACACTATTTTTGGCAAACAACCCTTGCCAATAGAATTCACTCCGAGATTTCACCACGGCTATCTGGAACCGTTTACAACGAAGATTTAACGGCTATCTTCTACCGATCCCCCAAGGATTTCAAAGGTTATCCTTGAACCTTTACCCAAGGATTTATACGACTATCCTTAACCGTTACAACGTGAGAATTTAACGGCTATTCTCGCCCGTAAGAAGGTGTGTTTGATGAGCACAATCAAGGATTCTACACAACGGCTAGAATATTAAAATGAAGAACAAAACTTAGCCGGTGTAGAAGAAAATTATACTCTCTCAAAAATACAATATAAACTTATGCATATGAGAGTATATAACTAGAAATACAAGCTTAAAGTGTGTGCATAAAAATCAAGCGATTAAGGCTCTCAAAATAGCCAAAATATGAATAATTAAGAATAGAAGTATAAACACACTTGAAATATTAAAGTAGGATATTTGGAGCTTTGTTTCTTGAATAAATATGAAGGATTAGGCTTGTATTTATAGTGGAAAATGTTAATTAGCCGTTGGGAGGTGATTACGGTTGATTTAATTCAAAATCACAAATCAGGAATAGTAACCCAACGGTCACGGTAGGCCGGTACCGTCCTCACGGTAGCATGGTACCGTGCGTACGGTAGGGGGTACCGTGAGTGGTAGTACCTCGGTACTGTGTTCCACTAAAAATCCATTCGGCTCTCGCGATTTCTGCATCCAAATGGTAGGGGGTACCATGTTCGCGGTAGAGGGTACCGTATGGACGGTATAGGGTACCGCTAGGGGTACCGTGCCTCTGTCCTGCGTTTTCCAAAATTTCCTTAATCCTTCGTGTTTGAGTTTAAAACCTTTTAGATATTTGAAAATGTTTATGGGATGGTTTTAAACATATTTTGTGAGTGCTTTTGAGCTTGTGAATGTAGGTATATAAAGTCATATCCTTACATTGGTTTCTAGCTATATTCTACGCTAGTTTAGTGTTTCGACTTCATTCTTGAGTACCGAATCTTAATGGATTCTTGTTATACCTGAAACACTTAAATAAATGTTTAGCTCTTATATTGTTTGTTAACATTAAAACACGAGGCTTAGCAAACCAAGGCTAACTATATATATATGTGTATATATATATATATATATATATATATATATATATATATACATACATATATATATATATATATATATATAGTTGCAAGCTAGAGTTTTACAAGGCACTCTGGATACCCGTCAGTGTGGGTTTAGAAACATATTTATAGTAGGAACTGAGGAACAGGACCACGTGTGCCCACGCGTGGCCACTGCTAGGCCCATGTTATGTCCCTGAGTTGATCCTTCTTGTGTTATAGGGTTATGTCCTTTATCTTCTAGGATATATCCTTTGTGATTGTGTCTTTTTGGCGGGTAGTATCTGATGGAGATATGGGCTCTACCATTCCGACCCATATTTGTTATGCTCAGCCTTGAGCAAATGAGCACGTCGTTGGAGTAGCACGCTCGACCCATGGGGCATACTCGGCCGTGCACGAAGTAAGCCACATGACCGTGCCTGGTTGTCACATTCAGCCATCTCATGCAACCTCAGCAGCTCTGAAGCCGCGCCATACGTGTGAAGGTCAACTCTTGAGAAACCACACGAGCGCTGCAATCAGAGGTAGGGACGTCATAAGAGGGCGACGCATCATAGGCATGGTCAACAAGATAAACGTCATTAGAAAGTGATATGTCATGAAGGAAATGATGATTGAGCCTTGACATGTTGTATAAGTAGGCCCCCGTGCCCAACAAGGAGGGAATGAGATTCTAAGTTCTCCAATATTGCAAATTGAGCTCTCTCTAGTACTTCTACTCCCTCATTCTTAACATGCAACAGTATCCGAATTTAATACTCCCTGCGTCTCATTTGAGTCTTTCTGGTTCGTGTTACAATGCTTGATTAACTATATTTTCAATTCAGTTTATTTGATTGTAGGTGCAAAATTTGAAAATAAAAATTATATATTAAAAACTAAATAAAAAAATCTACAAATTAGAGGTGACATGATATATTATATTACCATATGAGTAATGAAAATAAAGAAATAAAATATATAAAGTTTGATCCTGTAAATATTGTAAGTAAGTAGGATGGAGGGAGTATCGAGATGAATTCTGTTCTAAAATTAATTTTCCAGTTTGATTTTTCCAATCAATTTTTTTAAACTTTGACCACATATTACGGAAAAAACACATTGAATTTTTATATAAATTTGTTATTAGTAGATAAATTCTGAAACATAATTTTGAAATATATTGTTTTTAGAGTAAATTCCATAATTGGTCCTTTATAACATGGGGGTTTCCCTATTTAGTCCTCTATTATCAAATATTACCCTAGTGGTCCTTCTTTTATGGGTATCTTTCCACAAATAATCCTTTTTTTGATCTTCTATCATGTTGGTGTTAATTTGAGGGCTAAAAGTGTAATTTTACAATGATAATATATCTTTTTTGTCATACAAAATTCCAAAGGCAGTTCCGTTTCCATCGTTTGTGAATTACATTCGCTTTCTACTACAACCATAGACTACAAATGTGGTCTTTCGTCGGAATCCTAGCTCACAATCATAGTCATTATTTTTGTGCTATCCGCTTAACCAATATCAGAACACGTCACTAGACATAATGTTGATGTCAAATTATACTTTTAGCCTTTAAATTAATACCAACATGGCAGACGATTAAAAAAAGGACTATTTGTGGAAAGGCACCCTTAAAAAAGGACTACGAGGGTAATATTTGATAATAGAGGACTAAATATGAAAATCCCCCTGTTATAAAGGACCAATTATGGAATTTACTTTTGTTTATAAAATTAATTTTAGGAGGGAGAAAAAGATGACATTACACCCCTATTTAAAGTAGAGGGTGAGTTCGAAATTTGCTCTACCCCTCTCAGTTTGCCCGGCTTCACTTTCCAACCATGTCGTCGACCATTGGCAGGAGAAGCATTCATCCCATCTGCAGATTACTCTTCAGCATTCGTCTTTCTCACCACCCTTACCATCACATGATTTCTCAAAGCATCCCTTTATCTCCACCGCCGACCACCGCCGTCCACCCATGCTACGGCCACCGGTCTCGGCTCTCCACATCCGCATCTCTTTCCGACCAACTCCAAACCCAATCAATCCCTCAAAGCTCAGACCCGTCTTCTCTTTCGTGTTCCTCTTCTCACCTCGTCAACGAGCTCTCTAGGATTCTCAGCGACTTCAGGAGTCCGCATCACGATATCGAGTCAGCCCTCTGTCCATTTGGCTCCCAAATCTCCAGCGATCTTGTTGAACAAGTGCTCAAACGGTGCAAAAATTTAGGGTTTTCCGCTCACAGATTCTTCATCTGGGCTCAGAGGCTACCGGGGTTCAAGCACAGTGAAGATAGCTATCGCATTCTAGTGGACATCTTAGGACGTAGCAAGCAGTTTCCGTTGCTATGGGATTTTCTCATGGAAATGAGAGACAAGACATCTTGCAAAACCACTCCACACATATTCTCCATTGTGATCAGGGCTTATTGCAGGGCTAATCTTCCTGCTGATGCCATAAGGGCATTTTGCAAGATGGCCGATTTTGGAATTGAACCGAGTGTAGACGATCTCGGGCACCTTGTGTATGCTTTGTGCAAAAGAAAGCAGACAGAACATGCCCAGCAATTCTTTGACAGAGTTAAGGGGAGTTACCCACCCTGCCCAAAATGTTATAGCATTTTGATCAGGGGTTGGGGAGAGTTGGGGAAACTTTCTCAGGCACAGAAGCTGTTTGATGAAATGAATCAGAGAGGGTGTTCTGCTCATTTGCCTGCTTGGAATGCTCTCTTGGAGTCTCTATGCAAAGTAGGTCAGCTGAATGAGGCTTATACATTCTTCAAGAAGATGAGGTCTATGGGGATGGAACCGGATGCTTTTACCTACTCCATATTCATCCATTCTCATTGCAACTCAAATGATCTTCATTCTGCTTTCAAGTTTCTTGCTAGGATGAAGAGGTATGATCTTGTCCCTAACGTGTTTACTTACAATTGCATCATCAAGAAACTCTGCAAGGCTAGTAAGGTGGAAGATGCATACCAACTGCTGAATGAGATGGTTGATAGAGGGGCAAGTCCCGACTCTTGGAGCTACAATACCATTCTATCTTTCCATTGTGATCACAATGAAGTTAATCAAGCGCTTAAACTAATTTCAAGAATGGATCGATGCGGTTGCCAACCAGATCGTCACACGTATAATATGATTCTTAAAATGCTCATTAGGGTAGGAAGGTTTGATAGTGCAAATAAGGTTTGGAATGGTATGGAAGAAAGGGGATACTACCCTTCAGTCTCAACATATGCTGTCATGGTCCATGGACTCTGTCGGAAGAAGGGAAAACTCGAGGAAGCTTGCAAATATTTTGAAATGATGATTGATGAAGGAATACCGCCGTATGCTTCAACCTGTGAGCAGTTGAGGAATAAACTGATTGGTTACGGCTTTGTAGAACAGACAGAGATACTTGCCGTTAAGATGGAGAGAAGCACTTCGTGTTCAATTCAAGAGCTAGCAAGCTTCATGAGGCGTAATAAGACTAGCGTCAAACACAGAGGCGAAGAACACTCCGATTGTGATGACGACAGTGACTGATGCTCAATAGCAGTTTCATTTACCATATATATTGATGGAAAAAGAAATCGAATCTATTTTTATTTGTTTAGGGCTTATTAGTGATCATAATTGATGTGATCTTGAGCTCAACAGCTCCTTTTCTGGTGCACGTTGTATTGTTGTTACACTACCTGGCTCTTTGAGCGCATACAAATAATGAAATATGCGATGTCGTTTCTCCTTTAACTATAGCTTATATAGCTTCCATAATGTGAACATGAGTCCAAATTTGATATGCGAAATGGTACATTGCCAAGAGTTGTCTCTACATTATACTCCCTCTGTCCCGAAACTGTTTACAAGATTCTCTTTTCACACTTCTTAAGGTGAAGTTAAACTTTTGAATTTTCCCAAAATACCCCTGATCAAAACCCTAGGGGGTGGGGATGTCAATGAAAAGTAGGGGTATTTTAGTCTTTATGATGTGCACATGTCACGAAAGTGGAAATATTTTAATCAATTTTGGGATGGAGGGAGTATACAAAAATACCAACTTAGTTTGAGAGCTTGAAAAAGAAAGCTCCCCTCTATTGACATTGCCTGATTTCTGATTGCCAAGGGAATTGATTTCCAGCTTTGAAGGAAAACTGGAATAAATTTCTCAAGATATACACGTTTTAGAAGATGTTTTGGAATTGGCACGGAATGCTAGGGGTACCCCAACAATTGTACATCATTCTACACCAAAGGCAAACACAATGCCCGAACAGACATTATGTCTGTCTTTGCCTTTGGTGTATAAATGGTGTACAATTGTTGGGGCATCCCAATAATCTTCCAATCGGCTGAGATGTAAAGGAAACAACATTGAACAGAGAGAAGATGTCATGAATCAAAGAGAAAAATTACAACGCTAATATTTATATCTTAAGAAATTTGAGATAAGAAAGAAGTGAAAGAGCATTCATACTTCAAACTCTTTAAGCAACTCCAAAAAGGTCTTAAGAGGAATGAATCCATTGAAGCATTTTTACTCAGCTGCTAGGGTATCTTATAGGCAAACTAATTTCTTAGAGTAAACCATTCTGGAAGAGAGTGGTTCCTGGGGAAATTATATATTTGAGATTATATGTAAAACAAGGATATTCTTCCTAGACGAAGGGAGTATATTTTTTCAAATAAATATCTTAATAACGTCGAAATTCCAATTTGGTAAATTATATTCTAAATATTTCATTAAAAATATTTTTGCATTCTGTTTATTTACATTATTATGAATTGATGACTATTATTCGATAAATATGTGTAGATTTGACACATATTATGTTAATTTCTATACACATATAATAAGATATTTTAAAAACTGAAAGCTTTTAAAACATGTATGTACTTGTATCCGTATCCCGAACGTTTAATATACAGTACATAATATGACATATTTTATAAAATCCCAAGTATTCCCAACGTATTATACACGAACGAACGTATGAGATGCCCACCGTATATTACGGAGTACTAACAAGGGTTTTAATTGGACCTTTGATGGGATTTCATTAAAAAATACGTAGTAAAAAAAAAGAAAATTTAATGTACCATTTTAACTTAATTCATTATTGCCAGGAGCTAAAACATTGTCAATTAACTCTTTCGGCTAAATGAAACATTAATTCAAAGTTCCAAGCTAATGCTTTACTATTGTATTTATTTATATGACATTGTAAGCACTCACTCGTTGGATGATCTAGGCTAGTGTATGAAAGCAAAATATAAACTTTTCAATAACTCTCTGGATACAATGAATTAAAAAACAATAAAAATAATAATTTGCACGCCCTAGTTACAAATTGAGAATTCTCCCTCTTTTAAAAAAAATTGCAAAAGAGGCAACATATCTACATAAAATAATTGTGGTAAATCAAGAATGGTATGCCCAGTGTGAATCATTAACCAGTTGCCCTGCTTTCTACAATTATCCAACTTGCATTGAATGCATTTGTAATGAAAGGGAAGAGAGAACAAAAAAAAAGTTGCTGCAAAGCCAACAGAAGCTGAGAAAACATTCCTCTGTTCTCTTCATAGTTTCAGCATCCAGCCTCTAAAGATGGGAACTATGTGGTACTTTGAAGCCGAAACCATTGACCTCGGAGCACTTTCAACTTCACTTCACTACCAACTGTGATCTCCAAAAGGCTTCTTGAGTGGCTAAGACACACCTCGAAGAACAGCACATGACAGGTCTCATGAGGACAAAGTTGGGCAACTAAGGTTGTACTTAGTGCAGCTGCTCTGTCTCCAATCACAGAATTGGATATGCAGAGGGAAAGCTGTTGAGAAGAGAAGTAGCAAAGAGATCAGTTGAAAAATTAATGCAGCGCTTCTTCAATTATATGCCCACAATACATAATTTGATCATTTGATCATTTATGCTCATGAGAAGTAGCACAAATGTTGTATTGCTGAGCTGGTCATTCGCTCTGATATCATTAAAATGTTTGAATGCAAAATGACTTTCAAATAGAACAAAAGATTCATGTTTTGCAAACATATTTACTATCCACCCATTAGTTCATTGCTTGTTATGTTCACACACAGTCACACACACACAAACACAAAAGACACTTGTCTTACCAGGTGGTCAGTGACTCTTAACGAACCCAAAATCATATACAGATATTGCATTATTATACCCATATACGTGCAATATAATTTTCATACAGGTGCATGCATTTTGTGTGCATCGAGAAAGTTAAAAAAATAGACATAGCATAAGCTGATGGATGCAAACAATTGTGTCCACATGAAATATAATCATTTTCTTGAAAATAGAGGGGGGTACCTTACCACTACTGTTGTAGTTTCAGAACTTTCAAATTGCCATTTGACTTTTTGAGGAAAATAATAAATCGGTTGTATTTAGTGGCTATTTGTCCATTAGCCTGTAATGTATCCAGTATGCTCCAACAGCAAATAGATGAGGTAGTTTTAGGCTTCAGTTGAGCTGTTTGCAAAAACAAGGCTGATAGGTTTAGATCCCTCTTTTCTTTGACAAAAATCACAAATTCACAATATAGATTGCATTGCTTTCAATTGATCTTCTGAAAAGGGAGGATCCCTTGTCTTGGCCAACCTGATGACATGCCGTGCTTTTTCAATCCCACTAAGTCCACCATTCACCCGTAACCCTTTAAGGAGAATAATAATACTATCGACACTCGGAAACCACTTTTTACTCATACTATCTTTGCACAATGAATATGCCAAGTCAAAGTTACCGGCTTTAGAGAGGTAGTGAATCATGGTTTGATAAATTTGGTCATTCGGTTTCAGGCCATGGCCATGCATAGTAGAGTAGACCCTTATAGCCATGTCGAGAAAGCCAGCTCGGCATAATCCTTTGATTACCAAGTTACAAGTAATCTCATCAGCATTTATCCGAACTTTATGCATCAAACGTAACAATTTAATAGCATCCCAAGGTCGCTCCCGTTTAACCAAATACTGTATCCTAACATTATATGTTGCAATGTTAGGAGTGCACCCCTTGAGAACCATAAGATTCCACAAGCCATTACTGATCTCTACTCTATTAATTTTGTAAAAGAAAGATATGAGTGTAGTATATGTAACTACATCTGGATTAATTCCCTTCATTTCCATCTGAACCATTAGCAGATAAGCTTTATCTGGAATACCCATTTCACAAAATGCCTTGACTATAATGTTCAGTGAAAGAATATCTAAACGAATATCGAATTTGAGTGAAACATCTCTCAGAAATTTCTCAATGGCCTCTGAGTCACGGGATAGAGTCAAAACCTTGAGAGCAGCATTGAGAGACTTGACAGTCCTTTGGCAACCATATAAATGCATATCATAAAAAGTATTAATAGCATTTTTCATCATTCCAACACTCCCATACAGCATTATAATACGAACCATAAAACCTTCACGTCTACCTTGTGGTAGAGCCTTCTGTTCCTCAAGCAAAGTTTGAATGTAATCGAACCTGCCAGCTCCTGCTAAGCGAGAAACTGCAACTATAAACGCAAACCGATTCTCAATCACAAGCTTATTCTGTGCATTTTCCCTGAACAAATTAAACAGCTTATGAGGATCCCTTTCCTTTTTCAGCTTTATAAGGGCAGGTTCATCCACCTTTATGGGATTTATCTTGGAGATCGATCTTTTATCAGTAGCAATGAGGGATTTCTCTTTTGATGCAACAGTAGCAGCTGCGGGAACTCGAGGTGCAGTACCAAATCTGCGAACCAGTCGCAGAGATTGCATATTCAGAGACTACCCTCTCTTTCAAGAGTGCCCAAGGGCCAAGATCATAAATTCGCTTACCTTTCAATTAAAATCATCTGTATCCATTACATAATGAAGCAGAAGAATAGAATTAACGAATGCATCATGAAGCACGGACACGCTAATAGGGAAAGCCTCGGAAGTGTACGGGACGCTTCATGCGCAGTAACCGGAGACGGCCAGGTTACGACAGAGAGAAACGCCAGGCGGAGGAATAGTTGGAAGAAGTGGGCGGTTATGAATCCGAGTTGATGGAGGCGGGGGGAGGGAAGCCCCACTCTTGCCTCGACAGACGACAGGCAACAATGAAGAATGCCCGGGGTCTGATAGTAGGATCTCTTCGCCTGCGCCTGTTTTCACATCTTTTGGAATTAGGGTTCCCTATCTTTATTATTATAAATTTTAAATTTACTTTATTTAAACATTTAAGAAAAATTTAAAAATAAAGTTTATACACACACACAAATATATATAATCGAAATTTATAAAACCATAAATAATACGAGTATTTTATTATAAGAAACTATTAGTTTAAATAAAGTTTGGGGGTTTCAAAGAGGTGCATATCATTTATCACGTTATGTGTTACCACTTTTCGATATTAGGTTCTTGCTAACGATATATTCAGAAAGACCATTATTCCTTTTAGAGGTCTCCGTCAAGGAGATTCCGTTAGCCCATATCTAAAATCTTGTGCACCGGGCTACTATCTTTACTTGTACAAGATGCAGAGAGGCGTGGAACGGTGCATGACATTTGAGTTTCTCGGGGTGGTTAGCTCCTTCCATTTTCCATTTATTGTTTGCAAATGATAGCCTTTTATTCTTGAAGGCCATCATAGGGAAGCTAGCAAAGGTATTGTGGTGTCTTTCGGAGTAGGATTATGCTATGTGTACACCAAGATTTGTACCCCAATTTGTACCCGCA